AGCCAAATATTTAAATAATTTCCGTGGATAGCCTTTGAAGTGGTAAGGTTAAATTATAAAGAAATTAATTATGCATACTTTAAAATTTCTGATTTTTAATGTTTTTAAAGCATTACTTAAATGGATGTTTTGGCAGATTGTAAACAATTACAAATGTAACCCAGTCCATTAATCTATACAAGGCTGGATGTGATGGTCTTTTTATTATGGAGGCACCTAATAGGTGGGCCACCATCGCCTTTCCTATGAAGGGACGGACAGTTATAACCATGCCTTCTCCGGGATTCGAACCCATACCCTTCGGCATCGCAGTAAGCTTCCCTGACCACTATACCGACTGGGCGGAACTTAAACGTATTTTAAAAGGGTCAGTCTTAAAATGCAACTAGCTGAGTTTAATTTAGGTATAAAAGAAGCAAGAAAAATGAATAGCTAAACAATTAAATACCTTAATAATTTTTAATACATCCTAAATGCAATATTCTTAATAAATTAAATAAAAATTAAAATAATACTTTATGAATTTCATTACAAATTTATGAAATTATGAACTTAATATGAACTTAGTATTAAAAAGAGATTATTAAACCAGAAAACTTAGATTTGCTCTGGGGAAGAAAATGTGTTCTTTTTTTTTTTTTTTTTCGAAGTATTTAATATATTTTTTGCTAGTATCCCACAGCTTGAAATATTCTTAAGCTGTTTCATACCAAACGATATTACTTTTTCAAATTGCATTACGCAGAAAATCTACTGTTAATTTTTTTTTTTTTATGCTTAGCAAGTGTGCGTTTAGAATATGGCAAATATTAAGGTACTCCAATTATCAATATCCGCTTTCATACAAATAGCAATATATGAAACCGGGTATTAATAATCGAAATAAATTCAGAGGAAAATGAGAATTTCTTTGAGGTATTATTGATTATATTAAACGGGGATAAATTCAAATGCGAAGCTTTGACACGGAAACTTTATATCCAGTTATAAATATCTAACGTTTCAAAGAAGCACTAACAGAAAAGCATTAGTACAGCAAGAAAAACATTTTCGAATATTAAAAGAAGACATTTGCGAATATTAATATTTTCTTATTACTTCAGACACATCGAATATGAGAAGTTCAGAGGTAAAAGATTTACACCTCCAAAGTTATACTATTAATTTCCGCGAAACATTCATCCATCTATAACCATTTTTATTTGCGAATTCTCAACATCTTGAAACTCTTTAAATAGTCTAAGGCAGAAATGAAAAGAATTAATTAGAAATTATAAAAGTACATATGTTGAAAATATATTACCTTATTTAATTTGATTTACTAAAAGTGTACAAATTTGGTCAACCAAGCTAACTAACATTTGAGTATAAAATTACTGTAAATATACAGCAGTTTATTCAGAATTCTGTAACATTATAATAAAATGGCCTTTTTGAAGAGGTTTTCAAATGTTATACAAACTATATGCTTAATCGAAAACTTTTTCAAACGACATTCAAAGCGATCTATATAAATGAAATGATGTTATAAATATGAGGCCAATCCATTTTAAAATCACAGTATTTATTCAGAGATATGGCTTTAAGTTACTATCATATTTTTCCTCATTCAGTCATATCGAATGAGAACACAAGCATGTTCTGTTCATTTTCCTTGTATAAGATATATGTGCGAAAGTTAATTTTTTTTAGGCTACATATTAAACTACGTCATTCTCATTTGTTAATATTGCGCTGCAAATCTTTCATTGTTAACCTGTTTTACTGCTGAGAAAATTTATACTACCTTTCGAAATTGGCTTTTACGACTGCAGTTACATGAAGCAGCAAATTTGGTGTCTTCGTTTTTTATTAAAAACCGTAAACTTTCGACTTTTAATGTAATTCGAAACTTAATATAAACATGGGTTCCCTTTATAGAATGAGAACACTTGACTTATATTATTCAGCTTTTCATACAGGTTTTCTATCCGCGTTGCAGCAATTCGACCTGCTTTAAAGAACATTATCTCTCTTCCATTGCTACAATATCTTAGAGCACCTTTATTCTAGAATTTATACTAATTGATAATTCCTCTCTTTGGATATATTTATTTTAAACCTATTTCTAAATGCATCTTTCCATGGTAAAAGACATTCTTACGTTTTGACGTATTCAATTAAGCTCTATGTTTTTTCTAGGAAGAATGTTTTGTTTGTTGAAGTTTAAAGAAGCAGCCGCCTCCTTTAAACTAATTCCATCTGGTGGCAACAAATCTCAAATAGTATGTTGTCAAAAAATATAACAATCATCAGTTCACAAACATTGAGGAACACATCTACGACAATATGATATATTCTTTCACAAATATGACACCTATAAAGTCCCTCAAAGTCTGAGAGAGGACAACAGAGACCGAATATTGTTCCTGCAGTACATCAATTAGTTAAAAAACATCTAAGTACTACGAAATAACAAGATCAACAAGAATACTTAATGAATTACAATAAAAATAAAAAAGCCTTTCATTGGCAAAACATATTTTTAGAAGTTTAAGATAAAGTGTTTCTTAATATGCACATTTATATTCCACTTAAATATAGTGTCTGTAGTTAACTCCCTTTCACTCTGGAGGTGGTTTTCAGCACATTAAAATAAATGCATCGAGTAGATACTGATAATCCTCTCTGGAGCACAAAGGGTTAACTGATTTCAAATGTTATAAAAATATTTAATTAATTAAAATTTCTAAAATAGTACAACATATACCATGATGACCAAAACATTACAAGACATGTAATCAGATGAATGCATATATCATTCTCAAAACGTAGAGTTCCAATCAATAGAAAGTTATAAACAGGATAACTAATAAAGAGTTTCTTGGAAGTACCAAAATGAGTGAACGCCGCAACTTGGTGAATGTAATCATGGTGGTGATCGTGTGATGTGCATACATTGCCATGAGTCAATGCGTATCTGAAATACGAAGAATCTTTGTAGTTTAAAGAAACTTTTGTGAGACCCCTGCTGTCTCAAAACCGTAGGGATCTACTTTAGTTTCATCAATAATGGTTACCTTAGCTAATTAAAGAGAAAATGACAGTGATGACAGTATAAGGATCTGTTTTTCAGGCCCGCACAATTCAAATGAAAAAGCAATATGAAGCCAGATTATATTCAGATCAAATGTGGAATTCGAAAGATGTTTAGACTGCAAGTCTCATAGCTCATTCTGCCAAAAAGTACTGAAGCCGATGTTTATCCTTGATTTGATAATTTTACAATGATGCTCTATGCTTGTGGATAAGAAAGCAAAAGTTTATGCAGATTGACTTCGAGTTGCGTAAACCTCGTTTGTTACTGCGCACTTAGGATTCACACGAAACATCGAAAGCATAAGGTTAGACGTCTTCCCATTATGTATTTTTAAAGGAGGGTCGTCTTTGAAATGGTAAAAGCAGTTTTATTATCGGAAGCATTATAATAGCGTATCGTGTCAACAAAGTTTTATAAATCATGCATTCTAGCAGTATATCTGTGGGCTGACTCATTACTTGCCCTATTTCATGGACATTATGCATTTGTAAAGAATGCTTCAGCAAGGCAAATCATCGGTCCACAAGGATATTACCACACAGGATGACTGAATTCTTTATAATTCTAGTTTCTGAGTCTATGGGCATACGTCTTGTTAAATATATCTCGTAAATTGCTTGACGAAACCTCATATCTCCTTACAATGTAGTTGGGATTAACTCACAACGAAGTTGCCCAAAATGCCCGAACATTCGGACATTGGCAAGTCGCCCGAACGCCTGCATCCATTTTCTACCTAGTGCTTTTCCCGATCAGTTGTGCACGGAGCGTTGGTTTCGGAAGTTGTTAAACGGCATGCCCATTTTTCTTTTAAAGCTACTAAAAAAAAAAAAAAAAAAAAAAAAAAAAAAAACTCTGTTATTTGAATGCACGTTCCCTCTTCTTACTTATGGGTCAACGTTTAGTAATAGATGCTCACTATCGTTCGCAAACTTGTCTTAAGGAGAAACTGTATACGATGAGTGAAACCCATAAAAATCCTCAAGAGAGAAAATCGGTCACTTGGGGAAGGAAATCGAGGCAAAAAAGAATTCGTATATACCAGAAGGTTCAGATTTTTGAGAGAAACAGATTTTGGCCGCTGCTAATGAAACCTAAATTAGCAAGTAAAGATTCCTGGAATATTTCCGCTGACACTAGATGGGTTCAATGTTTTAGCAAAGGCAGATTATTATTCATGTTAGAGGAAGACAAGCACACTTTTAAAGAAGCATCTGTAATGTTGTGGTCATTCGGTATAAAGCATAATATTTTTTTTTACACGTAAGTGGTCTGTACTATTTTTAAAGTTTGCATTAATGAAAACTGAATTGCAATTGCTGCAAAATAATATCAACTGAAAATTCTAAAATCAGTTGATTATATGAAAACAATTATTCATAATTTACTTAATAATTTAAAGCTGATAAAGGTCTTTAACATTAAAGTTAGTTTTTTTTTATTTAGCTTGATACATTAGTTTTGATACAAAAATACATATATTATTTTTTTCAATGAATGAAAATTGTAGTTTTTGCGTTAATATAATGGCAAAGAAATTTCACACCAATACAGTTTTGATGCATAATTTCTGCAGTTTGAAAGTGAACATTGCAAACAATTAACAAAATCATTTCATTTAATTGAAATGAACAAGTTGTATTATTTAATGTTTAGAAGTATTATATATAATAGTGTTTGCGTTTTTCAAGTTACCTGAAAGTATTCATAAAATCATTCATAAATAATATTTTCAGTTTAAAATTTCTGTAATAGAAGATTATTCCTTTCATAGGAATAATAATTCTTATATACTTATTAACATTTAAAGTAGAATTAAGTATGAATAGTTAGTGCTTAAATAATAATAAATAAAAATGCTATGTAGGGTATGTTTTAAGCATATTCATATTTAATCAGTTTTATTAAATATGAATATTAATAGTCATATTCATATTTAATCAGTTTTCCCATTAAATTAAACATTTTCATACAGTTTTAAAATTTGTGGCTTAGTTTGCTTTTAAAATTATTTCCCACAATCTTTTTCCGAACTCTGTTGTCCAAATATTTGTGAAATCCTTTTTTATCAAACGTCATCTTCCAAATACGTATGACTTACTTATAATTCAGAATTTGAATTTAACTAATTTTATTCCAAATTTAAATAATAACAACAATCCTATTTGGAGGTTCGGGAACAAAAATGTCTGATTTGAATGTCTTAAAATTTATTTTCTGTTTTTGTTGACATATATTATGATAGTATGTATGGAAAATATAGGATATTTTATATATACCTAAGTGTTTCAAGAATGCCGATACAATTTAAATAAAAACATTTCACTTTATGTTACGAAAAATAAGAATTATTTTAATTTTATTTACAGTATGAAGTTTTCTATACATTCTAATTACATTTCAGACTCTAATTTAGCATGTTATACGTACGCATGAATAACAGAACTGTGAACACGTACTTAGGAATTAGTGCTTTAACAATAGTTTATAAATCTGCAAATGGGACGATATGTATTGATAAAGATGCACTTTTACGTATAAAATTTCCATAATCCCCTTGCTGTTGTGTTGTGACTTATCTCACTTGTCTGACAGTAACATCAGTAAACATATCTATTAGCGATTACTTACGTAATTGCAGTACCATAATTTAAGTTGTTCTTAGAAATTTCTATCAAAATGTTACTGGAAAACTGTAGGTTGCACGAGAAAATATTTTTAAAATGTCCGTATGATGAGTGTCTAAAATAAAAGCGATCGTTGTTCAAAATCTAGATCGATTCATCATATAATCATCGAGAATATAATGACTGGCCTTAATGAAGGCCTAAGTTCATTCTTTGTCTTTTACTCGATAGGGTCATTTAAAAATCTCAGTTTAGAGTTGATTACCGTAGATTACCGTTTTTCTATACTTGAAAGAATGTTTCCATCATCTGGTTGATGATATGAATTCTTTTGTCATAGGCTCCTTAAAGCTGCAACTGCAGAATAAACTGGACATATGTATAATAAACAAATGGGGAGAATTTTAAAGAGATTCTAAAATTTCTCTATAATGCTACACTCATGGGCCAGACAGTATACGAATTTTTTCTCATTTCAATTGAGATAAGAAATAAATTAAGTAAGAAAATATGCGTAAAGAGGCTTATGTTTTCTTTCAGATAAAAGAAATATTTTAATATTTTTGAAAGCTTTTCTGTCCCTTTTATTTTAAGGACAAAAATATATATGGAATGAAAACTTTTTCTGTAGCAACCTTAGCCTTCAATCTAATGCAGATATATCAGCATACTTTCCAATTATTGCCGAAAGAAATGGAAGTGAAATTTATCCAAATATAACTTAAAGAATAAATGTTAGCAGCTATTAAATTTCAAGGAACGTTTCCTTATGAATTTCAGTCATTTGTTACAGTGAATATCTTAAGCACGTAAGAGGAAGATGACGTTTTTTGTCTTGTTTAAATTCACATGAGGGCGCAGTTGCGTGTTCTGTCTCGTAGATCATCCTTAAGGACGTCCTTGTTCTTGTACTTGGCCCTGGAGCTCATCGTAGATAAAGGTGGGGCAGTCGCAGCACGGAGGATGTGATTCTTATTAAGTTTCCCCAGGGCAGCTAGAGCAGAAATTTCAAAGGCATCCCGGACGCTACGTGGACAAGAACGAGAGGAAGTCTCCACGTATGTTGTCGCATGGATTTGACGAGAGACACCCAGAGCCTGAAAGAAAAACATGAAGTTGCATCTCAATATGATTACCCATAATACTTCTATTTCAAGTGTTAAAATTCAACTCTTCAACGATTTCGAATTTAAAAGGGATATTCAGATTTATGCATTTTTGTACGCTGCACATTATTTATTATTCTTTATTTCTTCACTTCTCTTTAATGGAAGGTTAATGCTGGAGATGACAAGTACTAAAATAAAATAGACGTATGGAATTAAGATTTCATAAATACATATGAATATAGAAGATGCTGAATATTGATTCTCTGGATGTTGATCTTTGAATATTGATTACAATCATTTACATAGCGAAAACTTAAAGTTAATAAGTTGTCTTAAGATTTCGCAATTACATCAATGTTTGAGAAAACGTATAGACATTGGATAATTCTTGCTAAAACGGAAAGATTGCTTAATAAATTGAGATTTCATTTTACAATTTATTAAACGATTAACTTTTTTACAATATAGTAACGCATTTAAAAGAATGTTAGAAAAAATTTATCCTGCTTCTATATTTCATGTTCAAAATATCTGGTCACGTGCAAAATAAATCATTCGTTCATATTCACCCGAAGGCTAAGTTACAATAATGATTTTTGATTACAGTTACTGACCCTGGAAAGGTATAGGTATCCTATATATTTTTATGGCAAACAAAATGCAATATCATGGACAGCGATTGCACAGTTAACGCTATTAGGAAAGATTTATCAAAGAGTATAAAGACAAAGATTTTGAAAGGCAGGTCTTTACAATAATGAAGGCCATGAAATTACAAAAATAATAATTATTCATCTATTTTAAATAATACTTGTAAAAGTAGATGGTAGAATAAAGGGAAAAAATAGCGCTTTATTACTCTGATCACCACTATAAGCTTTAATAGCGAGGAAAAATAGGAAAGGAAAAGCTGCATTAGTTTCTGGAGCATTATGAATAGCGAAATATATACATCACAATGATTCAGTCAATTATCTGCGAAGAAAGGTTAGAGAAGTAAAAATATTATTCGATTAAGGAAACCAGTATTTCATTGTAGCCTGGAACAGCGCTCATCTTAAATCGAGGAATAAAATAGAGACCATAGATTTCATTGACACCAAGTACACATTTGCTTTACTGAGATTAAAGATATGATATTAGATTTATAGTTCACATTTGCTTTTACTAAAGCATCGCATGTTACGAAAGGCCGCTTTTTCACTTTGAAATACATAAAACTAACGGCAAAAGTCTAAACTGTAAATTATTGTTACTCTATAAGGTATTTCTCCCGCCTTCCTAGCGTGCCTTCGTGGTGTAGTGGATCTGCACACTGGGTCGGTATTCCAGAGGTCCGTGGTTCAATTCCCGGCGAAGGCGAATTGCTCATTTTTCCTCTTGCCTGCTTCCAAAAAAAAAAAAATACCTAAATGTCTCTACAGTGGCGCCGGAAACAAAAATGCGGTGGATGATAATGTCCCCTCACCCAGGATTTGGCGATTGGGTCGGCTTAAAACTCCACTCGCCCTCTAAAAGTTCGAGTATATTAAGTACATCAGGTGAAACACGGAGGTCATCATCCCTTCGAGTATATTAGGTATTTCTCCCACCTTCTTGGCGTGCCTTCGTTCTGTGGTGGTCTGCACGGTAAGCTGGTATTCCACAGTTCGATTCCCGGCGAAGGCGGTTGCTAATTTTTCATCTTTCCTACTTCCAAAAAATATCTAATGTTGTGTTACAACTCTAAGTTGTGAAATGAATTATCTAATATAGCATAGATTTCATTGATAGCAAGTACACATTTGCTTTACTGAGATTAAAGGTATGATATTAGATTTATAGTTCACACTTGCTTTTACTACACTTCACACTTGCTTGCATCGCATGTTACATGAGACGTTTTGAGATAGAAAATATTCTTATACACCTTCTTGTGCTAGGATTAACACTAAAACCTTCTGCATAGGAGGCAGCTCAAAGTGAAACCGAATAGGTTTTACTTCTTATTTTCATTATTTCTTTGAATATAATTATTAACACCAGATCCGTAATCATCATCAGACATGTAAATGGACGAGCATTTTCAAGTATACAGCATATTTTTTATTAAGTCCCAAGGTAAGTTTGTGCAAAGTAATGTTTAAAAAGCAGAGTGTGAAATTGAAGTGATAAACAAACGCAATCGCTTTCATTTCTGTTGAATAAAAAATAAAATTTGCTGTACCTTGCTTAAAGTTGGTGATTTGTTCTACGTGTTGTCATTTAGAAACAAAATGAATGGCACTCTAGTGTAACACATGAAGTTAGTTTAAGTTTCGCCAATTTACATACTTGGATGTAAAAATAAATCGATAAATTTTAAATAGTTTGTTATTATATGTCCCACATATGAAATCAATATCGTAATAGCAATTATATAATTAAAATCTTGGTACATTATTTACCAAACAAGTTGTGACAGTGTCTCACCCATCAGTTTAATATATACACTAGTTAATTCAACATGGCACAGTGTCTGAATGTTAGCTTTTAATTCACAGATTACGGAATTAGTTTTTATGCATAAAATCCTCATTCTGATATTTAATGAAGTTCGAGAAGAACCGCTACCTAGAGATGTAACTTCTTTGCAAGTGATTAAGCGTGATTAACTTAAAAATAAAACAAAATACCTACTTAGACTCAAAAACGGTTCTAGTTCCTTCAATAGTTATTAGAGACATTACATATGCTTCGCATAAGAGATGACAAATGGCAGAAGAATCTGCTTACTTTTACTCTTCACAGTTGTAATTAGATGTTTGTATTCTTTACAGATGAGTCCAGCAATTTCAGCCGTTATTCGAAGTGAAATGCACCATAAACTGGCGTGTACCTATAACACACTTCAAAGACGTAATTAACGATACAAATTAAATGTGTGAAATGTGTGTTGAGGTTATTATTCTTTTTTAAGTGGGGGCATATATGTCATAAAGTGTTTTGTGAAAGGAAAGCTCAGTGCTGGAAAATATAGCGGCAATATCCTGGATGTTGCAGAACGTCTTTTGATGAGATGAATATGTGAAATATCCAGAACAGTCATGATATAAGTTGATACTTCTGCCCCAAAATGAGCCTTTATCAGTAGAATAATATTTTGAAAATGGCTTCATCTTTAAAATTTCTAAATTTACCTACGTTGACCACGTTTAATTTCTAAATTCGAATCCTACTAAAGATGCATGGACATTATATAAACTCTTGATGTCTTTGGTGTTGAATGGCATGATATTACCTTCTTATTTCATCACGTAGATTGATAAACCGATATAAAAAGAAAGCTTATATTTGTTTTAAATGAGCTGAAAAGTTTTTATATCTTATTGAGTCATTGAAACTATCAGAAATATTATGATGCATCATTATTTAACTTACAGTTTTATTAGACGGAATCATATTATATATTGCAGCACCTTACTCACAGCACTGTGACGCTTAATTTTGGGGCAATTTCCTCTGCAACCTAAGTTTTAAATGAAAGCGCTTCTCTAATGTTTTTGGCCACTCATGATTTTTTTATTTCATTAGCCTCCTACATGTAGCTTTTTTTGTTGTTCTTTATCATTAAGGGAATTAGCGAACACATATTTATAAAATTGTTGCTAATTGCGAGAAATGATTCAGGTTACTCAAGTATGTTAAATATCAATGAGAAATAGATTAAATAATCGTCACTCTTACTTATATATAAATAAAGTTTTAAAAAATAATAAGAATTAGAGTAGGTAAAACTCAGAACATCGCAGTCAAACGACATTCAAAACTGTTGAACAGGGGTGGACAAATTATTAGATAAGATGAAAAATCTTAAAATCATTTATTAGATTATAATAATTTAATACTTAATATATATATTTTTTATTTTAATGCATTTAGGCATCTGTTCAGTTACGTATTTGTAATTTGTTACTAGTGTCATGGTGACATAACAAGGTAAAGCTTTAAATTGGACTCGTTCCTCTGAAAATTGTCTTTAGCTTCATTAATTTAAACCACACTATCATTTAAGAGATAGTGGTTTGGTTTATTTGATTATGGCAAAGACCTAGAGGGCTATCTGCCTAAGCAGAGGGAGGCATTTCTAAGGTAATCGAACCCCGAACCGAGCTGTCAGTGCTTAGCGACTTTACCGCTGCGCCACTGGTGAGTTAAAAGCAAATGATAAATTCTCAAAATGGCTTACACCTTGATCGAGTTCTTCGTTACCCATTGCTGATATAAACGAAGCAAAATGAAAAATGAGTAACTTCTATTTCATCATCAAAAATTTATAAAACAGAAATATTACATTATATTTACATGCATACTCTACACTATTACTTTAGATAAAATAATCCACTAATTATTACATCTAATCGTTGAGCTAAAAATTTATGTCAAAGCACTTGAAAACAAAAGCTTCCAAAATTTTTGAAAAAAATCAAAAATATCTTGAATAAAATGCCATGAAGAATTTTGGTAAAATTTGGTTAAAGGATGAATTAGTTAAATAAACAACAAATATTTATAACTGGTTTGGTGAAATTAACTTAACTGAATGTTCAACCTAGTAGCTAACTGCATAAATTTGCTCTAATTCTTGGCAAGTTGTTCCCTTTAATTACTGTATAACTGTCGGCACAAAACACAATTAAAATCAGGTGATTTTTTATCAATTCATTCCCGATGGGTACAACCAAGACAATGATGAATCTAAAAGGATCGGCACATCGTACAAGAAATATCCAAGGTGAATTTACTTCCCCTAAAATTCAAAAATTTAAATTATGTTGAATAATATTCTATAAATGAAACTAAATACTTGATTGCCTACAGCTTCTCTAATCTCGTAAAAAGCTTGCCATGGTATACTGATTAACTAATTATAGCGTTCACAAAAGCTGTTTGAAATAATGAGCGATAACACACAGCAACGACACGGCGAAAGCTTCAAAAGTCTTAATGTTTAGATGAAACTTTGCCTC